AAAAAAAAAAAAAAAAAAAAAAGAGAAACAAATAAGTATGAAAAAATAAAATTTAGAGAAATAATTGATTAATTAGTATCGAGATTATTTTTAATATTTTGTTTTTTTTTTTTTTTTTTTTTTTTTTTTAATGCATTGTAGCATATTTCAAATTATTAGACATAATAATTTGTTATTGGTATATAATTTGATTTTCTTATTCTTCTTATATATATATATATACATGTATAAATGAGTAAATACAGAAAAAACAAACTTGATGAAACTTATATGAGTTACTCTTTTGATAAAATGAAAAATTATAATTTCAATAGTTCTCGAAATAAATTTAAAGGAGAAAATAACAATTATAATAATTACAACAATTTTAGTTATTATAACTATTATTATAACAATAACTTATCTTATCACAAAAAAAAAAATAAATATGGAAAGAATACTTATGATAATGAATATTCTAAACCAAAAGATAAGAATAAAAATTCTTTTGTAAGTATATGTAAAAAATATGATTCTAAAAAGGTTGATGATCAGTTAGATTCTTTGAAAAATGAAAAAAAAGATAGTATTTTTGAAGAAGTAGATAAAGTTAATAATATAACATTTGGTTATGATAATAATTCAAAATGTGATTTCTCATGTATGAATAATAATATAATAGAAAATGAAAAGAAATTATTTAAATTAAACAAGTTGGAAAAAACGACTGATTCTCCAAAATATATTGAAATAGAGGAAAAAAGTATAATAGATACTAAAGAATTTATAAAAAGAGAAGATGAAAAAAGAAATATTATTGGTTTAGATAATGAAAATAAATCAAACTATAAAAGTGAAATAATAGATAAAGTAAATGATGATTTTTTTCAGTTTGATAACAAAATGTCTAATATTACAAAATTTATAAACAAAAATATTTTTTTTAATAACGAAAATGATGAATTAAATGAAGAATATTTATCAACAAATTTTGATCCTTTTCATTTTATTGGAACATCAAATAATGGTCAAATTTCTAAAGAAGATAAAGAATTAAAAATAAATAAAAACATTACAGAACAAAAAACAAAAGAAAAAAAAATGAAGAAAGAAAAAGAAGAGAAAAAAATTAATTTAAAAAAAGAAAAAAATAATTATAAAAAAAAAACAGAAAATGAAGAAGAAAATGAAGAAGAAAATGAAAAAAAAAATGAAGAAAAAAAAAAAATAAAATTAGATGAATATAGAAAAAATAAACATGAATTTACGAAAGTATGTTTAAACAAAGATGAAAAAAGAGATAATATTCCATATGATGATAATTATGAAAATATACACAATTATACTGATATATCAAACAAAATAAGTATTAACATAGATAATAAAAGTATAAAACGTGAAAAAATAATATCATCTGAAGAAAATAATTCACTTCGTGATAATATTTTAAGTGATGATATTAATATGGATGCAATTCCTATTAACATAAATGAATTAATAAATGCAAAAAAAATTTATGATAGCAGTGATTTAAATAAGTTTAAAAATGTAAATGATGGAAGTAATACCAATATTATAAATAGTTTAAAAAAATTAGATATGTTAAATTCATTTCATTTAAATAATATGAATAATGATGAAGATTATAGTGGTTTACCTAATAAAATAAATAATTTGTTAAATATATATAAATTGAATAAAAACCAAATTAATGATGATTTTTTTTTAAATATGAATGAAAATAATGATTTAAATTATTTCAAGGACAATTATAACTTAAAAAATACAGAAAATAATGATGTAAAAAATATTATGAGAAAATACAATGATAAATATAATGAAAGCTTTTTATTAGATGAAAAAACTTCTAATCAAAATGATTTAAGTAAATTAAATGAGAATATATATAAACAAGAAAAAAATAAAACTAATGATGTGAGTAATAGAAAATTTAATAGTGAAATGCCAATTGATAAAAATATTGTAGATGTTAATAATTATGTATTAAAAAATCATATAAAGGATGGAAATTATAATATGAACGTAAATAATAAGTTAAATAATTATAAAGAAAACAAATCATTATATATGAAAGATAATGTTGATATTAAACTGGATACAATATCCGACCCAAATGTTTTAAAATTAATAAATTATTATTACAAAAGTAACGAATTAAATGATATATTGACAGTAGAAAAAAATAAAAACGTTTTTTTAAATAAAGAATTATTATTAAAAAAAGAAAATGATTTAATTGGGAATACAAATAAATACAGCAGTAATAATAATTATGAAAATAGTAATATTGGAGATTTTTACTATAATAATGAAAGAAATAATAGTGATATATGCATTGATAGTTATAATAATTTAAGAATTAATTATAATAATAATAATATTAATTATGATAATAACAATAATAAAAATAATAATATAAATAATAATAATATGAGTGATAATAATATTAGTATTAATAATAATGTTAATAGTAATAATATTTATAATAGTAGTAATAATGATACTAATACTAATTTGAATAATAGAAATAATGATACCAATACTAATTTGAATAATAGTAATAATGATACCAATACTAATTTGAATAATAGTAATAATGATAATAATAATAATAATAATGATAATAATGATAATAATGAAAATAGTAATAATAATGATAATAATGATAATAATAATAATGATAAATTTTATATTAAAAACAACTATTATAATCGTTGTAATAATAATTATGATAATAATAATTTTAAAAATAAGAGTTACATAAATATTCACAATATAAATGAAAAAAATAATAGAATTATGTCAAATACGTATTCAGAAAAATTTGAACAAAAAAATAATTTCTATAAAAATAGTGATAATAAGTTGAAAAATAGTAAACCATATTCTGTTAATATAATACCCAATGATAAAATACATAATCATAATAATAAAAACATAAATAATAATGATTTGCATAATACTTTAAATGATGAAAAAATTACTAATGAAAATTACATTGTTAAGTTAAAAGAACATTATATGCTTAAATTAACGAATCTTATGAAGACAAATTATAAAAATACAAATATAAATGATTTAAATGATGATATGTATAATTACTATAGATTTATTAATAAAATTAATGCAAATATTAAACAAAATAATTATCATAATAAATATAAAAACCTTATGCAAAAAAGCGAAAAAGACAAATTGTTAAGAATTCAATTATCATATATGATTATAAATCCATCTATACAAAAAAATAGTGGAAAGTGGAACTTCAAAAACGAAGAAAAAGATAAAGAAGTAAATTCATTAAAATATGAAAAATCTCTAAATACTGATAATATTAAATTTAATAACATAAAAAATAATAATAATGAAGAAAAAGAACATATTGACAAGAATGTTTTTAGAGAACAAAATAAATACGATAAATTTTTAAATTTATACAAAAATGAAAATAATGAAATTAAATCTGATGATATTTCACTTATAGAAAGCATAAAAAAGAGTCAAAATTTAAATGAAGATTTTAGTATATATATGAATGGGAAAGAAAAAAAGTTATACGATTTATTAGATCAAAAACATTTTGATTTAAACGAAAATATTTTTGATATAAATATAGGTAAATTACTGACGTTTTCTTTGTCTGATAGAAATTTAATTGATGAAGAGAATAATAAGAATGAAAAAAATAATTTATATATAGAAAAGGAAAACATAAGCATTAAAAAAAATGATAATGATGAACTGGAAAATCATGAAAAAGAGGGTGACTCTTTAGAAAAAAAAGTAACAGATAAATATGATACTGACGATTTTAACATGCATAATGATGAATATATAAATAATTTTTATATACACAAAAATGATATATGCAAATATGAAAATATAAAAAAGTTAGGTAAATATGTATTTGCTACAGTACACGAGCCAAGAAATTTAATAACATTAATTAAAAATAAAGATTTTGACAATTATGATGAAATAATAGATAAAATAAAAGCAATTATAAAAAATGAAATTAATGAAATACAAAACAAGAAGAATTGTGAAGTAGAAAACAATGAAAATGAAATAAAGAATGAAATTAAAATATACAGTAAAATAAATAATAGTAATTTGAATGATAATGTCATAAAAAAAATGCTAGAAATATTATGGGATATTTATATAGATATTAAAAATCTATTTAAAGATATAGATAAATGTCCATACACACATATAGAGACTATATCTAAATATAAAGAGGAAATTAAAAAAAAGAAAAATTCTCTTTTTAATTTTATTTTTTTAAGTAAATTAAATAATGGTATGTTATCATTGAATTCATTTATTGATTATAATAACATTTTTACAAAAAGAAATATTAGTAATTTAGATATAATTGTAAATAAATACACATATTTATTTTTAAGAGACTCATTATATAATAATCTAAATAATAAATTATTCTTTAGATATCCAGATATTTTGTATTTAATAAATAATTTAAATTTCAATAAAGATATTGAAACAAAAGATATTACAAATTCAAATGAAAAAATTCCGTCTGATAAAAATAATAATATGCAAAATATCCATGTAAATTTCTATATTAACAGAAAAAATGAATATAAAAACAATATAAGTAATATATTTTTGTATCAATTTCCTTATGAGAACAATTTATATAAATTACATAATTATACTATATTTGGAAAAATTCTAATATACAACAACAAATATAACTATTTTAATTTTGAAAATTATAATAATTATGATAATTTTTTGAAAACATTTAGAGAAAATGAGAACAAATCATACTTTATAAATGAAAAAGAAAATAAAAAAGTTTCAAATAGAAATTCTGTAGATGGAATCTCTTCAGAAGATATAAAAACTCACAATGAAATAAAAACTTTTAATATTGATAAAAATTTAATTAATGAAGAACTTTCTAGATTAAAAAGCTTATATTTTTTATTTTTTAATAGTTTTTTAAAAAATAAAGGTGTATCAATTTATAAAAAAATTTTTAAAATTATTAAAAAAAAGAAGAGGAAATCTTTAATATATACTTTATTTAGTAATTATTTTTTAATGTATTATATTTTTTCTTTTGCCGATGAATGCTTTGATAGCAAAGTAGAATATGAAGAATTTTTAAAATTGCAATTATTACATATTAATTCAAATATAAACACATTAAATAAATTTTTGAAAAATGAAAAAAATCAAAATAGGAATATAAATGAGAAATATATTTCAAAAAATTTAAATCCTCCATCCAATATAAGATATAAATTATACAATCATAATATATATACATCATTATATATATATTTAATAGATATTTCTTTATCTTATTTATTTACACCGGATATTGGAATATCATATATTCAAGATATTTTATCATTACTTTTATTTTATAATTATATCTATTTATATATAACAAAAATTCTATTTTATAGAGTAATTAGAAAAAAAATAAAGTTAATTTTTTATAATATATTTCGTATAAATATTTTAAATCTTTATATATATATATGCTTATAACACATATATAAATATATTTATTATATATATATATATTTATTAAATATATATATGTTTTTTTTTTTTTATTTACAGAGTGGGGCAGCACTGATAACTATATTACTAGTTAAAATAATTCCGTATGTTAAAGATTTTGACAGGTTTTTTTTTTTTTTTTTTTTTTTTTACATTTCTTTAAATATGACATATATTTATAGATTATCATTTATTTTATTTATTTACATTTTTTTTTTTTTTTTTTTCAGAAATCTTATGATTTGTTTTCTTTATTCGGTTTTACATAGCATATTTTATATTTTGTGCAATTTATTTATTTATCATTTAGAAAATGAGAAAAAAAATTTCAAAGGGAATGAAGTAGAATTATATTTAAAAATTTTTCAATCAATGACTAATGAAATTGAATTTTATAAAATTATATATAAAAGTATATGTAGTTATTCTCATCTGGATACATATTATGAGAAAGAAATATTATATATGCTAGAGTAAGGATTTAAAAAAAAATAATTTATTATTATTAATGTAGTACTTAATATATATTTTAAATAATAAATTCTAATTTATATTTTTATAAACTTTATATCATTTTACTTATTTAATATTTATATATAAATATATATATATATATATTTTATAATAATAGAGATATAGGTAAAGATAACGTTGTAAAACTTATAATGAATCACATACAGAAATAATATGAGAATTTTGATAAAAAAAAAAAAAAGGATTATTTATAATAAATTATATATACACGTATATATATAAAAGCACATAAATAGATACAGAAAAAAATCTCCATATATTGAATTCAAAAAGGATTATATTTTTATTATTTATAAATAAATTACGCAAAAGTATAATTAACAATACCTTTTTTTTTTCTTTTAGCATTAAGTATATATTATTAGAAAAAAAAAAAAAATAAAAATAGGTAAATATATATCAAAGAGTTGTAAATTTTTTAAATAAATAATAATTTATTAATTTTATATGTTTAATAACGAATATGAAAAAAAAAAAAAAAATTTATTTATATGAAATGTTTTAATTTATATCAAGTATGTACAGAAATAATTTTTAATTTTGAATATTAAAAGCATATATATGCTTAGACAAAAATGCATAACACAAAAAAAAAAAAAAATGAATACATTTAAAGCGCTTGAAGCCATAGTAATATATGATATAGTTTAATAAAATTTTCTATTTAAATTATAAAATTATATTTATGATTAGATTTTTAAAAAAAAAAAAAAAAAAAAAAAAAAAAAAAAAATAATTTGAAAAGCAAAAACTTATAAAACATAGATGATATTAATTCTTAATTTTTTTTTTTATTTAGCAAAATAAATGTATAAATTCTTACTATACATTTTCAAGATAGATATATTAGTATACACTTTCTTTTCTATTATTAATATAATTTTTAATATTAGGTATGTTACTTATAAACTCATTATGTGTTTTTAATAAAGGAAAATTTTTCAAACTGTTTGGATATTTTGATTCGATATCATCATATAAATTAAATACGGCTAAATCAGCATATGTTAAATTATCACCTACAAAATAAGTACTATTATTTTTTTTTAAAAGATTTTCAAAATAACCAGACCATTTGGGTAACTCTTCATTAAGAAATGTTGTTTCATTTTGTTTAAATAAGTTAGTATTATTAAATTTATAATGAATATCTTGAACACCACAAAATATCATATCTGCGTAGAATTCATCTAATTCATTATTACCACTTATTTTGTATTTTTTTGATAAATAGCGTACTATTGCTTGACTTTGTGCTAAAATTAAATTATTTATTTCTAATATAGGGACTTGATTAAAAGGAATTTCTTTTTCTTTTTTAAAATCTTTAAATTCAACAAATGCATCTCCATTTTCTCCAAATCTTTTATCTGTATATTTAATTCCTAAATAGGCAAAAATTAATCTAATCAATTCAGCTTTTCCTCTTCAAAAAAAAAAAAAAATAAAATGTATTTACATATGTATATAAATATATATAAATAAAATAATATTATATTTCCTTTTTTTTTTTTTTTTTTTATTATTACATTTACCTTGCATCAAAATAATATAATACTATATTTTCTCCCATTTTTTTAGTATAATTATGTATTTTTATTAAAATATTTACAAAGATTAAACACAATAAGAATTATATATTTAAACTAGAAATATTAAAATAACTATAGAGTCAAATACAAAAAAAAAAAAAAAAATAAAATAAATACTAATAAAAATATTTATTATAATTTTTACATATGGAGTTAAATAAAAAAGAATATTTAAATAAAAATAATATTATTAATAAAATGATATTTATAAAATTCTACAATGAAAATGCATAACAAAATCATAAAGCATATATATAAAAAAAAAAAAAATAAAAAAAAATAAAATTAAACAATAGCTAAAATATAATATTTAAAATAAAAAAATGCTAAATTGGAAAAAATAAAAATAAATAAAAATAGCAATAATATAGCTTATGTGTGAAAAAAAATTTATAGTGGATGTAAAAAAATATTAAAAAATAAATCTTAATCAAATTATAATAAATAAAAAAAGAAAAAAAAAAAAAAAAAGAATATATATGAAATAATAAAGAACAATTTATAAAAAGTGTATGAAATTATAAGAACATGGCAAAAGAATTACAGATGATTTTTCAAAACGACTTTTTTTCTTCTTATTTTTTAGATAGAAGGTTTAATTTCCAAAAAATTAGCATCTACTTAATTTAAATATAATATTATTTATGTAATTCTTGTTTTTATTCCATTACTATTTTTATATGTTTTAATAAAAAAAGGAAAGAAAAAAAATATATCACTTTAAAATTTCTTTTTATTCATTATTTTCCATTTATTTAATTGTTCATTTTTCATGCATATTATTATTTAACAATCAATGTTTGATATTAAAAAAAAAAAAAAAAAAAAAAAAAAAAAAATTCAATTTGTGTTATTACAATTTATCTTTAATATTCCTTTTCTTTTTTTTTAAAAATTACTTATAGTATTCTTATAAATATTTAATATACATGTACTTATATGTGTGTATAATTATATATCACAATTTATTTACATAAATGAAAAATAGAAAAAGGACAAATTTCTTTTTTATTCTACTTGTTATTTCATCTTTCAAATTTTCAAAAGTAAAAAAAAAAAAAAAAAAAAAAAAATAAAGAAAAATTATTAAGGAGTAATTTCAAATTTATAAAGTGCTATTTAACTTAAATCACATATTGCTGATATTTTATTTCAATGTAATTGTAAGAAATACAATATTTTTAAATTCTTAAAAAAAAAATTATATTAAAAAGAAATAAAAAACTCAAAAAGGAATAAGCAATGAAAAAAAAAAAAATAAATAATAATAATAAAAATATAAAAAATGTATAATAATTTAAAATAATTAAATAAAAAAAAATATGAACTTAAAAAATATAAATTAATAATTATAAGTAGATAATTGGAAATATTAAAAATATAGAATAAAAATAAATAAAATAATTTAAAAAATTGTACAAAATATTTAAATACAAATTAAACTGAGATATAAAGAAATATAATTTAAATTTTCTTATTTTATTACATAATGATAAAAATATTCCCTTTTTTTATTTTTCAACTTTTTACAATTATAATTAAAAATGTGAATTCAGTAAGAACTTACGAAAAAATTTATTATATTTAAAAAAAAATTCTTTCATTAATAAAATAATATATAAAAATAATATAAGAAAATATGTATTCATATTTGTAGTATATATATACATACATTACATATTTATGCTATATAATTCCATTATATATATTTTTACAAATTCTTTTTTTAAGGTTAATCATAAGAGGATATTTCCTATAAACAATTTAAATATACCAATAAGTTATCAATATAATAATTATAGGAAGTATGTAAAATAATAGTTTTATAATAATAATAAAAATAATGCATTTATTTAATAAATAATTTTATTTTCTTTATATCTCATTTATCTTTATAATATTTTTGTCATTATTAGTGCATTTTCATTTTTTTTTTTTTTTTAATTTTTTCTAATTAACTCAATTTTCTTAGGTTTGGTTATATAGATATGAAAAAAAAAAAAATTGAAGAAAGAAAAAAAAACGGAGTAGACAACAAAATAGCTATTAAAAAATGTCCTTTAAGAAATATTACTTTAAAGAATTTTGTTAGTGTAACAGGAATATCTATACCATTATTTTTAGGTAGTTTAATAATCTATAACAAAATGAAAAATGAAAAAAAAAATTTAAATGAAGCAGAGAAAAATATAGGAAAATATTTATATAAACACGAAAATAATCAATTTATTGAGAATGGGTTTGAAGAAGATAAATCTTTTAATATGTATAATAAAATTAATAATATATATAATAATTTTTTAACTTATTTAAATTTTTATATGAATGTAAAAAAAGTAAATACTAAAGATAACTTAAAAAATTATACAATTTTATTTTTTCATTCTTATAATGTTGATAAATTTTTACGATCAAAACATATCAAGACATATGTTGATAGATTAAAAGATATATATAATGAAATTAATAAAAATGGTGATGTTAATATAGTATATGTACCTCTTGATAACAAAATATTATTAAATATAAAACATTTTAATAACATGAATTGGTATAGTGTATTATTCACAGATAAAAAACTTATCTTAAAATTAATTAAAAGGTATAATATTATGAATATTCCTACTATGGTATTATTAGATAAAAATATGAATATAATAAATGATAATATAAATTATTTATTATTATATGAAAGCAAAGATTTTCCATATAAGGACATTAATAATTTTACATATGTCAATTATTTATATGATAAAAATAATAACAAATATAATTTAAAAGAATTAAACTCAGATTATTTATTTTTTTATTTCAATAATGATAAAGAAAATAAAGAAGATATTCAATCGTTGTTAAAAATTAAAAAGAAATTATCAGAAAAAAATATAAAATTAGATATTGTTTTTATAAAAGATGTGGAAAGGAAAAAAGAAGATAAAAATAATAAAAATACTAATACTTCAAATAAAAAAATGGATATACAAGAAAAAATTAATGAAAATGATAAAAAAAAAATAGAAGATAGTGATGATGATAATATTTCAAACACAACCAATTTAAATGATAGTGAATCAAATGATAAAAATGAAAAAAATAATTATATAGATGACATTTATTATTTAGGAAGTTTAGAAAATAATATTATTTATAAACTTTTATTATATGACATTTTTGATATTACATTTAAACCAGTAGGTATTTTAATTAATAAAAAGGGGAAAATTTTAAATAAATATGTTAATATCAGTAAAAAAGATAATGAAATTATTTCTTTTATTTTAAATAATAACAAAAGTATAAATGAACAAGTTAATGAAAAAAATTACATGTATAAATATGAAAATATTAATAACTTAAGTAATTTAAATGTGTTTGCACCAGTCTTTATTTTATTCAGTGATAAGTTAGACTTTGATTTGTTAAATCAGTATAATATTCTTATCGAACAGTATAATAAAAATAGAAAAGGAAAAAAAATGAACTTTTACTTTTTACATAATGAGAATAAAAAATATGAAGCTATAAAAAAATTATGTTCTGTAAATAATACAAATGAAATGGTTATATTAGATTTATTTAATCAAAAATTATTTAAAGAAAATTTTAATAATAGTAATATACTACAGGAAGTAGATGGAAGAAGAGTTATATCTAAAGAGAATTTTTTTAATTTTATAAATAAATATTATGATGATGATTTATATGCATCTACAATTAATCTATCTAAAGAATTATAATTTAATCAATTTATTATATATATTTTTCAGTTTATTCATTACAATATATATATATATATTCAATATAACTTTTAAAATGTCTAAATATACTTTTTAAATTTCTATTTAAAAAATTTTTAATATTTTGAAAATACATTTATATATATTCCACCTTTTTAAATTTTTAATACATTTGTATTTTTTTTTTTCTATTCTATTTTTTTTTTTTTTTTTATTAATATATTCTTTTGTTTAAATATTTTATGATACAAAATTAAAATACATGAGCTTTTCATTATAAATATATTTAAATCTATAAATTCACATATGCATTCCTTTTATTAAGTTATAAATATTTTTAAATATATTAATTTAAAATTAATATAAAATTTATTTTGATTTTTCTTTTAAAAATAGAATTTATATATTTTTTTGTTAAATTGTAAATTAATTTTTTTCTTTTTTTAATAATTTTATATTGAAATTTATTTCTAAAAAATTAAAAATTAATATACGTGTTAATAATTATGACAAAATTGTTATTAAAATAGCACAAAAATAAAATACAAATAATAGAAATCTAAATATAAAAAGATATATAGACATATTTGATAAAAAGATATATAGACATATTTGAGTTTTAATTTTTCTTTATTACATTTAAATAATATAGTAAGAATTAAAATCTTTTAATTGTTAAATGAACAAAATATATAGGTGAAGTTATTTCAAATAATGCTGGGTAAATGAAAAAATAAAAACAAAAGTGAAAAATTAAAAATTTAAAATAAATAATTTTTTTTTTTTACTAATAACGTATTTATACTTTGCAAATAAAAAGAAAATTAATTAAAAATCTTAAAAAAAAAAAAAAAAAATATTTTAATTAAATGGAATAAAATAAAAAAGTTGAAAATTAGTATATTCATAGACATGATAATATAAAAAGGAATGAATTATAAGTAAGAATTAATATAAAATTATATTATTATCTTCTTTTATTTTTACTTCTTTTTTTTATTTTCAAATTATAAACTTTTTGTTTTTTTTTATTTTTTTTCCTATTGGTATTTAAAATATTTTTATTTTGAATAGTCATATTTTTTGATGTGTTTATATTAGATGAAAAAATTTTATCTAGTTTGTCCATATTCAATAATCTATCATATTCATCCTCCGTTATTTTTTTTTTTTTTAACTTCTTATATAACCTTTCTTCAAAAAACAATGAATCAATTTCATTTTCTTCCATTTCTCTTTTTTCATGTTTTTTTTGAACAATTGTTTTTCTTTTTTTCTTCTGTTTTTCTTTTTTATCATTATTTTCTCCTTTTTTTTGAATAGTAGAAATTTGTTTTTTTTTCATGTTTTCTTTATTTTTCATATCATCTTGTCTTTTTTTTTCTTTTTCTTCATTTTTGTATGGTATTTCAAAAGTATTAATATTTATTTTTTTGAAATTTTTAATTTTATATTTTTCCTTGAATTTTGGTATTTTAACTAGTGCAAATGCGTAACATAAATGTGCTAAATTTAGTTTATTAAAAGATAAAAGGAAGTTTAATTGATGATTTTTGTAGAATTCTATATATGATAAAAAGGCTTTTGTTGAAAGTAAGAATATTTCTCTATATTCAATAACAAAAAAAATTAAATATTTTAAGAATAACATAATCATATTATTTAATAAAATAATGTTCTCTTTTTTATGAGCAGTCTGTTTCTTATTTAAATATCCTTTGTCCTTTTCTTTCTCCGTTTCACTATAATAATTTTTATAAAATTTAAAAAAAGAAATTTTATTTGATATAACTTTTTTTTTTTTTTTAATTATTTTCAATGCATCTTCATTCATGTTATTTTCATTTTTCATTAAAATTTTTTCATAATTCATCATATTTATATACATCACCGTTTTTTCAAAATTTGTAATATGTACATTTTTATTTCTTAAAAAAAATATATATTCTTTTTCTTTTTTATTTAAAAGAATTATATTTTTCCCATTTTTGTTAAATCTTCCAGTTCTTCCACTCCTATGAACGTACGTGATATTTTTATTAGGGACATCATAATTTACTACCCAATGAACATCGATATTAATTCCTCTACTCATAACATCTGTACAAAAAATTATTTTTCTTTTATTACTTTTTGTGTCTGTTATTTTTTTATATGCGCTAATTCTTTTTTTGTCTTTCATTTTTCTGTGAATTTTTAAAAATACGAATTTTTTATTTCCTATATATTTTTTAATATAGGATATCATTTTTAAATATAGAATAATCTCATTTTCATCATATATTTTATATTTACTGTTAAGTTGTAAAATTTTCAGATAATTTGTATCTTTATTTTTTCTTTCTGTATTAAAAACATTTTTAAATATATGAAAAAAATACTCGACACAGAAGCACGTAGAAAAAAATACTATAACTGTTTCCTTATCATTTACAACTGTGTTTAAAAATTTAAAAAGAAAAAAACTTTTATCTATATTTCTTAAAACAATATAATAATTTTCTATCTTTTCTGGTAGTTGAAAATGATCTATTACTATATCATTTTTATTAATGCACTTAATAAAATTTTTTTTTTTATGTAAAAATAAGCTATAAAACTTCTCTTCATTTAAACACGTAGCACTACATATACAGGTGGAGTAATCACTAATAAAAATACTTTTTATTATATCTTTTATATGATTTATATAACTTTCCTCTAGTAACTTATCCCCTTCATCTAATACTAAATATTTTAATTGATTTGTATTAAAATATTTCTTATATTTATTTAATAAAACTGATAATTTTCCTGGTGTTGAAATAATAATTTGATATCTATTTTTTTTTTTTTTCTCATTTCTTATAATTTTTAAATCTTCCTTAATTTTAACTGCTCCTCTAAATAATAGAGAATTCAAGAAAAAATTGTCTTTATTTAATGTTTTGAATTCTATGTTACATTTGTGACAAAAATATAATCTTATAAAAAATAAAAATTTATTTATTAAATTATAAATTTGTATGCATAACTCTCTAGTAGGTGTTATTATAATTCCATAAACATTAATTATTTCATTTTTTTTTTTTCTATAGAATTTACAGATTATTTTATTTTTTATATCTTTCTTTAAGCATTTATTATCAATGCTTCTTAAAAGTTCATTTTTTCTGTTTATAGAATCTACTTGTTCATTATCCTTATTTTTATTTATTATACATAAATTATTATTTTCTAAAATATTTTTATTATAGTATATAAATTTGCTTATATCTAAATTAATAGTAGAATTACATTTTTCAACATCAACATTTTCAAAGAAGTCGTATATATTTTTAATGCTATCTTGATTGTATAAAAATGATTCTTCATTATTTTTATTAAATGCAAAATTTGTTAAACTTATTTTTTTGTAACTTATTAAATGTTGTAATAAAGGAATAACAAAACATAATGTTTTTCCACTTCCTGTTTCTGAATGTAAAAGAATATTTTTTTTTTTTAATAGGTGTGGTATAGTTTTTTTTTGAATATTAGCGCAAAAAATATATTTTTGAATAAAAAGAGAAAATATTATAGGTTCATCTAGGTTAAGTTCAGTGAATAATGTTTTTTTTTTTTCTTCCTTCATCTTTTTCTTAATTTAGAAAAAAATGTAAAATCATAAATAAAATGCTTTTATTATATATTTAATTAACATTCTCTTTTTTTATATTCTCTATTTAAATTATTAATTATATTATAAATTTTAACATATATTTCTTCTTTTTTTTTTTTATTTTGAACGTTTTAAAATTAAAATCCTTTAGCTTACAATTATTCATAATGTAACTGAATTTTTTTTTTTTTTTTTTTAAATCACTATATATATTTAAGTATATTTTTTTTTTTTATATATATATATTTTTATTCAGTTATTTTGTTTTATTTTTTATTAATAAAAATGAAAAAAAAAATTAAACCTTATACATTTAATAAAATACTTTTGCTATTTTCTTTTTGAAATAATTTTTATAGGGCAAAAATATTATTTAAAACATAAATGTTTAAATATAATTATCATTTTTTTTTCAAAACAAGTAAAAAAAAAAAAAAAAAAAAAAAAGGAAAAAAAA